AATCCCAGACTCCCCGCTGAGCGAGGAGCCAAGCTCAATCTCAGGACCCTGCGATCACGACCTGAGTGGACCACAAGAGTCAGATGCTTAACCAACTGTGCCACCCAGGCACCCCATATGCTACTTCTACTTTTCATAAAACTATTTTTTAATTTTGTGAATTCACGATTCCTTTGTTCATTCACTCATTGAACCATTCTATTCACCACATGCAACGTAATGACAGATGCTAAAGATATTATTTCTGCATGTAGGAATTCCAATTGAACAAGAGAAAAAAAAGGCAGTTAAGCAGATAACTACTATGCAAAACTGCATTAACACTAATGGTATGTTGGGGCACCTGAGTGGTCTGCCTTCCACTCAAGTCATTATCCCAGGGTCCTGGGATCAAGCCCCACGTCAGGCTCTCTGCTCAGCAGAGACTGCTTGTGCTCTCTGTCAAATAAATAAATAAAATCTTTAAAAAATATACTAACAATATGTTATAGCGATCTGAGATAAATCTTGAGGGATGAGTAAGATTTTCATCGTTCAAAAAAGAGGATAGACCAGGAAGCAGTTCCAACACTCAAAGTGGATAAGAGGTCATCATCAGAAAAAAAAAAAAAAAAAATACAATTTACTGTGTGTTTACTACATGCCAGATACCATTGACACGCATCCCCATATTTCAGAGGAAACTGAGGCTGAGAGGTTACATACTTTACCCAAGGCACTAGACATGGACTAGCATGTAGGTCTCTTTCAATTCACAGCAATATTAAATAACAGTGTATGTATCAGAGTCAGAAATATTTAGGTAAGAATGGAATACAAGACCAAGAATACAATTATCAAGAGTTGGGCTTCCTTGTAAAGGCAATGGAGGATCCAGCAACTAAAAGTTTGGGAGTACAAAAACAACATATTAAAACATGGCTTAGGTACAGGAAATTGGAGGAATTAGTCTAGAGAGTTTATAACAAAGCCTAGCAGTGGCAAATACAAGGGAAAGACCAGCTGCGAGACATTCTTCTGACCCTACTTTTCCTCCCCTGGCTTTATTTCTTCCTTAACTGTGTAATCACAGACAGGTACAATCAATTTGCATTCTGTTCATACAGTAAAATTTTGTACTAAACAATAGTTAATAACATAAATAACAACAATTAATTTAATAGTCTGGTCAACTGAGAGGTAATAAACTAAAATTAATATAAATGGATTACCTTTTCAAGCAAGAATTAAATTATTTGCATAAGACACATTTTGATGATAGTACTGACAAGATTCAGAAACAGACTGTACGGCAGAGAGCTCAAGGAGACAGAAGTTAAAATAAAGCTGCAGTTAAAAACCTAGATGACGGGGCGCCTGGGTGGCTTAGTTGTTAAGCATCTGCCTTCAGCTCAGGTCATGATCCCAGGGTCCTGCGATGGAGCCCCACATCGGGCTCCGCTCAGCAGAGAGCCTGCTTCTCCCTCTCCCACTCCCCCTGCTTGTGTTCCCTCTCTTGCTGTCTCTCTCTGTCAAATAAATAAAATCTTAAAAAAAAAAAAAAACAACCTGGATGACTAGAATAATGGAAACAGAGAAATAAAGAGAAAAATGAGCAGGAAGAGACAGATTTCTGCCCCACTTTGTGTAGGGGGAAGGAGGGAGTTTATGAATTTACTTTTAGGAAGGTTCCATTTGAACACATCTCATTAACTGTCTCCTGTGAAAAGGACCAGCCAATAAAAATGTGTGACCAGTGCTCAAAAGAGAAGTCAGGGCTGAGCTATGTACTTGAGACACATTCACGAAGATATAAAAGATAAAGGTATGGAAATGGATCACTCTTATCACCAGGGAAAGGTAGGAGGGGTTATAGGGAAAAAAAACCCAAAAAGATCCTTTCCAACCAATAACTTCTAAGTGTCTTCCTTCTAGAGCTTCAGAGTGACTTCCCTCTGTAAGAAGGGGTGTGAAATGGAATAATGCTTCTGCTTTCAGCCTTATACCACAATTTCATACAATTTAAAATTCACAGAATTGCTTTACTGTACAATGCAGCTGACCCCAGGAATGGAAAACATAAACTGTTTTTGGCCTAGTTTCTAAACTACGTAAAAAGATCTGTGGGACTGCTACAACAAATGAGTAACTTTAAAGAACTTCACTGTGCTTCTTCAGATAATATTATTTCCTATTAACCTAGTGGCCAAAGGTGAAAAGGTTATTAAATTTCACAGTGGTATCCTCACAAAGCATGGAAAGATGTTACTCTAGATTAATTTCTAAAATGCTTCCTACCTTAGAGCATATATGGAACTATACCAGTAGCGTAAAATTTTTCAATGTGTTAAACAATAATAAACTTTGTTCCAAAATTATCAAACACAAATTAAATTTAGAACCCGACACTATTTAATGTTAGGTATTTACAATTTTTACTAAAAACAAAAAGAACTATTGTTTCTCCTTTTTCAATATAAGCTATCAACAAATTAAAAACAAAGATAAACCCAGAAAAGGGTCCTATTATCAACTGTTAAAGGAGCATAATGTCACAAGAGCACCAACTTTGGATTCAGACAAACAGGATTAAATACCACCTCTGCCACTTCTTACCTAGGTGTCCTCAGGTGAATCACTTAAAGCTTCTGAAACCTTATTTTACTTATCTGTGAAACTGTAATAATAAAACCTACCTCAACCTTACAACATATTAACAAATGTATTCTCTGAGCCACCAGATACAAAGTATGGGTACTATGTAAGTTAACAGCTTCACTTCTTCAGCTCTTCAACCAATAATGGAAATTCCAACAGCTTAAAAGCATTAAAAGCTTATTTTTGAAAATTACAAACAAGGGGGCAGAAAAAGTAACATGATTTAAATATCAGTTTAAAAATACCACCTTTTAAAATTCTATTTCTGATTCTATACCCAACCCACTCCCAAAAGATTAAAAGAAATTTCAGATAACTAAAGTGGCAAGAGTGTTAGAATTTCACTTCACCAGTTACTTGAATTTAACCCAGAAGTTTAGTCAGTCTTCTTAAATTACTAAATATGGCAATGAAATACATATGAAAATATCTACAGAATTGTCTTACAAAACTCGAAATAAAAACAAAAACACCAAATTCCTTCAAATTTGAATTTTCAACTGGTAAGATTGGAGAATAAGACACCCTCCCCCTCCCCCTTTACAGAGTTTAGTGCCCTGAGAATGCCAGATAATGAGGAACCCTGTCATCTCAATTTGAAAAAAAAATTGCTATTTTAGGCCTTTACAACACAGGGCAAGACTATATTAACTCTCATACTGAGTACTCTCTCCTCAGCCAGATTCCAGCCACTTAAACTACTAATCACTACTTAAGAAAGGTAGAATAAAAACATGACAATCCCTTTAAAAACTTTTTAGCACTGTTTTAAACGTGTCTGCACGCGACTGAGTACATTTTCTGTTACCAACTCACGGTTATTTACCAATGTAACACATGTGAACACTACACAGCAACTGTTGTATATACAAGGATCTGCCTACCAGGTCTGTGAATTATGGAGAATCTTGTAGTTCTCCCCATCTTGTTATTTTATTATCATTTTCACCAAAGAGCACAAAGGGAAAAAAAGGATTTCCAAAATTGAAGATGAGGCCGACTTTGGCACATTCATATAGGGAAGGCAATAAAACATTACATTTCGGTGCAAGTTTATATCACATCACAGGATATAAAAACACTTGGAGCAGAAAGTTCCAATTGAAAATATCCTTAGGCTTACATTAGGATTTCTTAAACACCATAAGGTGTGTTTCATATATGGATGTACTGCTTTGGAACTTAAAAAAAAAAAAAATGAATACTGTGAAATTAAGAGTGGACACTTCGAAAACTGTAACCATCTTATTCACAGATTATGTGTCAGTCACTTCTGAGTTTGTGAAACATCAAAGTCCTTCCCGGAAAATACTTAAAATTAGTAGGGTCCCCCTCTTCCCACGGGAATGGGCCCTCACGGTAGCCAAGGGAAAAGGAGAATAAGAGAACTAGTTCTATGATCAGATTTCTTATTTTAAATGCCTGAGAATTTAAGTCGTTCATCTGATTTCACTGCTGTCACAGCATCTAAGATACAGCAAAAGGAGTTGCACAATCTCCTCTTCAGAAGTCCTAGCAGGACCGTGGAGCGCCACCAAATCGGCCCCCAGAGGGGCTAGTGCCAACCCTGGCCGAAAACAACTATGGGGAGGGGGTCTTTTTGTGAGCAACTCCGCTGCCTCCCAGGGAACACGGGAGCTGCAAAGCCTACAGCTAAAGCCGAAAAAAGAAAGAAAGAAAAAAAAAAGGAGAGGGGGAGGGAGGGAGGGAGAGAGACTTCCACCGCGAAAGGAAAAAAGCGTAGAGAACCAGAAAAGGAAGCATTCTGTTTCCGAGAGGAGGGAGTAAAAGGGAGAAGTGAAGGTCTGCTTCCTAAGCGATTTTTTCCCCTTACCCCTCACCCCGGCTACAGTCTCCGGCCAGGCCATCGGGCTGAGCACCGCCCTTGGGCCGCTCCCAGGCCGGGACCGGACCCCTCTGCAGTCCCCAGACCCCGCGCAGGGCCCCGCGGCCGAGGCGGAACGAGAGGGTCCCCAGCGGCCGCCGCCCTCCGCGCCCCCCGCC